GCCCGCATGATGAATGGTCATCCGGAGTTCCGTATGGCAATGAAAGACGGTGAGCTGGTGATATGGGATAGTGTTCACCCTTGGTAGACCGTTCCCCATGATCCAACTGAAACGTTGTCATCGGTAGAGGGATAACAGCAGCTCGCCAGGCGGCGGTTGTTGTGCCTGGGAGCCGCCACTGCACTCCAGTCTGGGTGACAGAGGGAGACTCCAACTCAAAAATAAATAAATAAATAAAAATAAAAAATAAAAAAAATTTCTGTAGAATTTTTTTTTTTTTGAGTTGGAATCTCACTCCATCACCCAGGTTAGAGTGCAGTGGCGTACTCATGGTCACCCCAGCATCGACCTGCTGGGCTCCAGCAATCCTTTCACCTCAGCCTTCCAAATAGTCGGAACTACAGGCACACACTACCACGCATGGCTAATTTTTTATTTATTGTAGAGACGAGGTCTTGCCAAGTTGTCCAGGTTGGTCTCGAACCCGTGGGCTCAGACAAATCCACTTGCCTCAGCCTCCCAGAGTGCTGGGATTACAGGCTAAGCCACCAAGCCCGACCTCTGTAGAATTTTTACTGGCAAAAGATCTCGTATACTGGCAAAAGATCTTGTTCATTTATATTAATCCATTCCAGACAAACATAGTGGCTACTGTAGTAGTAATTCCATTTCTCAGATGTGAAGGCAGACATTAAAAGGGCTAACTGCTTTTTCCAGTATAACCATCTTGGAAATATGGCCTGTTTTCAGACCACTGTTGAGTTATGATGACCTAGCCAGTTACATCTTTTAAAACATACAAGTAGATTACAAAACTGCAAAAAACATACCTGTATTGGAAATATTTTGACAGCCACATACTCATTGAGCAACTGGGCTTTCCAGACACAGCCAAATCTTCCCCTTGCTTTTACTTCTAATAGTTGCAGTGGCTTCAAACCTAGTAATGGAGAAGGTGGGGGTGGTCCTGGGTCCTACAGACAAATAATAATAATGCTGTAAATAAGCATAATGTGATACATATCAATTCTGAAAATGAGAAAAAGGTGAGCATACTGAAAAAAACTCACAGATACAATAAATACATATGGATGATATTAACTTTAATCCTGCCAGTCTGAGTTCTCAAGCATTACTTGAAAAAAACTCACAGATACAGTAAATATATATGGATGATATTAACTTTAATCCTGCCAGTCTGAGTTCTCAAGCATTACTAATTTTCTCTAGTGAGAAAACAGGCAACTTATATTAAGAGTTTTCACAACAATATCCAGCATTATTACTACACACACACACACTCTCATACAGTAGAAGAACTAAAATCTTTTTGATCAGTCTTACTCATTTTCTTTATAATTTTCTATGAACATTAGCATACTCCTAACAATATTTCATTTGTTTCATCCAGTTTACACTTCCTTAGAGAATGAGGATTTCAAAAATACCAGAAATAACAAATTATGGCTATTATCTCAAATCCACTACTTTTTCCAATGGTGGTTTAAATTTTCTCTTCATTAATGTCAGAAATACCCATAGTCATTCTTAAACACATTGCAAATAGGTATATCAAATACAAAGCACATAAAAGACATATGTAAATTAATATTGTTATGGCCAAATTGTTTTTATTCATTCTAATTTTTCCAATATATTAACAATTCACGCCTTTGCTTATAATTATTTTCCAAAATTTATCTAAGATTAGAGGTATTTGTGTTCTGAAGGTGATTGGCAAAGAATGTACAAATAAAAATCGAGAAAAGATTTGATCATCATAGTAGATAGATAACAATATATGGTAAATAAAAGTGCATGGCTATAGTTTCAAAAAAAACAGCAAATATAGTACATAAATAGGAGTCCAACATCAACAAATCACAAGGGAATCCTCCTTATGACAACAGAATGGCAACTCTTCATGGAAAATAGCCTATCCACTCATTATCTGCAACTAGAGCAAGATGTAGGAAGCCTTTCAGAAAGTTTTCAGAGAAAAGCAATGTTTCAAGGGCTGTGTAACAAGTACTGCGAGGAGGAACTAAACTTTCTGTAGCAAGAGCAACAGATATGATGACACTGGGTGACACCTCAGACACCGAAAATGATATGTCGCTCCAGATCAATGCATCTCTCTGCCTTTCTCCTTCCTTTTTATTTCCTCTTCTAATGCCTCAAAGACCATCAGTGCTCTCTTTAGACACCATTCAACCCATTAATGCCAATCAGGAATTTTAAAAGTTTACATTAGGAAGACCCTCAACAACAGAAACACTGCAAGGTATTATACAGGAAGAACATGCAATTTATTCTTCTAATCTTTATAAAATACCTGGAGAATTCCTATAAAAACAGGAAGACAAAATAGAAGACTTCTTGTGACTCATTTCAAATTCAGATTTTTAAAAAAATTTTTACAAAAGTTGCTTTTCCTTCCCACATTCAAAATATGAAAGGTTAGTAAAGCTACAGTATTTTCCTTTAGCAGAGAGACGGGTCAAGGAGGTCAAGATGTATCTTATAGTAAGGATAGGCTTTCAAGTGTGATTCTCAGTGGGAGGGAACACAAAAATGTGTGGAGAGTTTTTATGCAAATTACACCCTCCCTACCTCACTCAGGTGATCATCTCTACCTGTAATAAGAGGTTCTACTGATAGAAGTAGGCTGCTTATATGAATGTGGAGACAAGAAAAAAAAGCTTGAAATTAACTCTGCTAGAGGCAAAGAAACCCATTCAGTCCACAAGGCCCAAGAATTATTATATAACTGCATAAAGAAATATTTAAGCTAAATAGACAAGGTTAGAAAGCTAAAGTTTTCAAAATAAGGATACTAAAAACTAAATTATGCAAATAAGAGCTGAAAGCTAAAAAAAGGAAAAATAACCAAGTAGAGATAATATAACTCTAAATAGCAATGCTAGATTTTTAAAAATAATTTTTATATGAATTGACTAGTACGGTCTCTCTAGATAACATACATAGTACCCATTCTCTGTTCTAAAGGGTATCAACCACATGAATATGATTCAATCCATAAACTCAGATTTGAATTTTAATATATATTTATTTATATTATATTTATTTAATCTGTGTCTCAAATTAGATTATTTAATTTACATATCAAATTAAGAATATGTCAGCAGTTCAAAATACAATTTTAGCATAATATTAATTTTAGAAAACATACAATTATTTTCAATGCCTATGTTTAGAAAAAAAGTTCATCAAATGTTTTCCAAATTCTTAAACTTCAAAGTTTAAGATCCAAGGCTCTGTCCAGCAAGTTTGTAAGTTACATTGTTTCAGAAAGAAATCTTTGATCACCCTTCTAATGTTATAGTTATATTCAATATTGTATCATAACAGCCAGAAAACATACTGTTGTCAAAATTATTTAAAAGTTAAAAGTTTCAATTAAAAAGAATACTGGCCAATTCTCAAAGGGTCAAAACCGTCAGAAATAATATGTGTTTTTAAATGGAATTTTAAATAATATTCCTTAATATTTAAAGAATTTAGTTCAAAAAGGAGTAACTTTGTAGCACATATAACTATCTGTAACACTAATATGCCTTTTTGCTTTTTTAATAAAACATTACTAGAATGAAGCTTTAAGTGTATCTCTAATACCTAGGTCTTATTTATCCCTTAATCTAAAAATACTAGAAATGATTTTCAGTTAATCACCATCTTTATAGTAACTTCCGAAAAACTCAATACTGGATTCTAGGGGGAAAAAAGTGTTACCTTTAAAATATATGAACCCCTGGGGAAACAATTCAGACTTAAATTGCATAATGACAAACAACATTCTGATGTCATTCATAAAACCAGGCTCTGCCCTGCTACACAGAGAAACCAATTTGTGTGTGGGGGGGGAGGGTTGCAACGGTAAGAACTTCAGAATTCCTGAAAACTTTCTCTAAGTTTCCATTACAACAGCCAGGCTATTTTGCAAAACTAAAAAAATATGCATTGGAACATGCTCTAACTACATTTCTTTATCCATTTGTATGTGAAAATTATGGTATCAGAAGAAATCACGTTGAAGAGACATGTTGAAATGACTACAAAAAAGTCCACCCTTCCACTACCACTATCCAGTATCATTACTATAACCAATAATAAAACACACTATTAGAGGCAGGGCACTGCAAAGTAGTCTGTGATCATTTTACACATTCTGATTTCTCCGTCTGAAGGGCGAATTTTAATTTAATTATGCCCTTAAACCTCCAGACAGCAAAAAAAATCCCATCAAAAGTTACACTTCTGTAGCTAGTTCAACTGCTAAAGATGCCAAAAGATTAAACTATTCAAAAATATAGATTTCACATTAAAAGATAATGGGCTGGACCAGAAAGTCAGCCCCTGTTAAAAATGAGTTTATGCTGACATTTAAGCTAATGACAACTATAAAAATTAACCAATACAAGGTTTTTAAGGCTAATGAAGCCATTAGGTGTCAGCTTCTAATCAAGTAAAATAGTTGTTTCTACCTTCTTCCTTAGAGAAGTATAAATACTGTTAAATCCCTTATAACCAAAAGCTATTATCCATGTCAAACCCATCCTGTTTTTAATATTAAAAGTGAGGGGGGAAAGCTCTTTGTAACATAAATGTATAAACTATAAGTAATGTACAGTAAAGCAATAACAACAACAAAAATTTAAGGACACAATGTTTAGTATGCATCCACGAAAAGTTCCACAACCATAAAACAAACATCAATGCATCTTACCTCTATCATTATATGAAAGGCGTGCTTGTGAAGAAAAAACACAGGCAAAAGATATTACGATTCATATCCAGAATGAAATGAAAATGACACATCAGTTACAAAAGGGAAGGAAAGAGAATACTGGTTTAGCTTTTTAAAAGTTGGCAGTGATTCAATGTATTGTATTTTTTAATTGACTGAGAGCTCTTTCCTTATAACCAGGAAAGCAGTAGCGAAAAGACCCCCTTGGAAATGAGGAATAGGTAGGAAACAAATTATTGACTCTAGTATAGCCCCAAGTTAACTGATCCAATGGACTTTATGCCAAGAAAATAAACGAAACCAAGACTTAAATAATTATTATTTATTTTTCTAAGATGTCCTAAAGTCTAAACTATAAGAGTAATAAGCAACTTAACTGAGGAAGAAATGGGTTGGAATTGCATGCTGGACACCAGAGGGCAGTAGTGCTTTTAACAAAAACTAGCTAGCAGCTCTGAGGAAATTTACATATAGCTAGAATAAGTTTCTGAGACTACACTTTCTGACAGTTGTCAGAATCTTAAATTTCCTATTTTCTGAACTACCTCACTGCCCTTTCATAGAAGACAGTAAAATCATAATGGTGAGATTGGAAACTTTCTGGTGGCTATGTGAGTGTGTACAACAGAAATAATAGACCATGGCAAGACAATTAAGACGGGAAGAACAAGATCATCAGAATTAAGTAAAACTCAATGACAGACCAGGGTTTCTGTTAACCTACTTGCCCAGCCACATCAAGGTGAAGAAATTAAGCAGGAGTGGCCCTGGGAACAAGCACCATACACCTCACATCCTGAGATACTCAGATACTGACAGAGAACAAGATTTTCATTTTTCCAGTCATCCCAAAATAAATAAGGGCCTAAATTTAAAATTAGGAGAAATACTGTTGCCAATTTGTTAAGGAATGCTGAGAATTCCTCCAATGGGTAATTATATTCCCCAGTTTCCAATATTTCTACAGAGAACATAGCACTGACAAAAAGAATTGACAACTCATTTATCTGCACCACTTGCTTAACTAGTTTTTCTTCCTTCTAGATTTTACTCCTGTGATAATGATTCAAGACTATTTATAATTCATCCAAAAGGCTAAGCTAATCCTACTATCAAAACATCTTATCAGCACTCCGGAGTAAAATTCATCTCTTGAAAGAAATACATGTCAACCGAATAACGAGACTATAGTTTCTCAAGGCTCAA